GATTGCTCCCCTTCTTAGGGTTTTAAGTAGTGGTCTCCTTGAGCCCTACCTAGACAGTGCTGTCTTCCCTGCTAGGGTTGCAAGTAGACAGCCCACTCTTTGTGGTCTGGGTAGTCTCAGTCGGTCCCCTTCTGGTAGCCTTCCTAGGTGCATGGCTATCTGAGGATATCTATGTGCTAGCCCAGGGACTGCTCCCCTTCCTAGGGTTTTTAAGTAGTGGTCTCCCTGAGTCCTTGCCTAGAGTGTGCTATCTCCCCTGCTAGGGTTGTAAGTACATAGGCCACTCTTGTGGCCTCATAGGAGGGCTTACCGGGATTTTTCATGCTAGCTGTGTGGGACCAGCTGTGGATAGCTTGGTGATTGCTCCCCTTCTTAGGGTTTTAAGTAGTGGTCTCCTTGAGCCCTACCTAGACAGTGCTGTCTCCCCTGCTAGGGTTGCAAGTAGTCAGCCCAATCGCTAGCGTACACGCTAGCTTCTGTGCGCTTTCTAAAATCGACATTGTGGTAAGTGTGCACGCTAGGCACCCTGCATACTTTTCTAAAATCCTGTATGGTATGGGTTACACGCTCGACTTTGTTCCCATTCTCTGAGTTGGTTCTGGCCCCGGTTCTCCTTGGGCCCCACTCCACTTATGTATCCCTGGTGATACTTCAGAACAGGGCTTCCTCTCGTTAAGAGAGTCATTCTTAGGTACATGGCTATCTGAGGATATCAATGTGCTAGCTTAGGGACTGCTCCCCCTTCTTGGGGTTTTAAGTAGCGGTCTCCCTGAGCCCTTGCCTAGACAGTGCTATCTCCCCTGCTAGGGTCATAAGTAGATAGCCCACTCTCTGTGGTCTGGGCAGCTTCACAGGTAGGTTTACCAGGGGTTTTAGTTTTTGGTCCTGTAGCCCCTTCCTAGGGATATAGCTATCTGTGGATAGCTATGTGACTGCTCCCCTTCCTAGGGTTTTTAAGTAGTGGTCTCCCTGAGCCCTGGCTTAGACAGTGCTATCTCCCCTGCGGGGTTTAAGTAGATAGTCATTCCCTTGGTCTGGGCAGCTCTTTAGGAAGGTCCTTTTCATAAGACCCTTTGGATATTGCTATCTGCGGATAGCTGTTTCCTTGCTGGGATTGTTGGTGGCAATCTTGAACTCCTCTAGGCTTCCAGCCTCTCAGTGGTCTTATGTATCTGGCTACTACTGCTAACATAGCATAGCTATCTGAAGATGGCTGTGTTCTTAGCTTGGTTAGGGTGTTCAACCTTATCTGGGATGCAGCGTTGAGTTCCCTAGTAGGGGAACGTCTCGGGTTACTCATGTAACCATGGTTTCCCGAGAGGGATCGAGACCTTGCGTCCCTTTGCCATGCCTTCGGCCTGCCTGTTTACATCTCCTCAGACAACTGAGTTGGTGACGTATTCAGCAGGTGCCCCTTTTATACTTTCGGGTACCCGCCTATGACGTCACGGGCCACGTGGACCAATAGGATTGGAGTTGTTTTACGCATGCTTCAGGTACCGGTCACGCAGACAGCATTCCCCAAAGTGTCCACCAGGACGCAGCGTCTCGTTCCCTCTCGGGGAACCATGGTTACATGAGTAACCCGAGAAGTTTGGCTTTTAGTGGTGTGCATTGCCATAGTAACTTACACTGTACAGCTAACCTGCTCCGGGGCAGGTTATGTTCTGAGTTAGAGATCTCAAACTGAAATTGGACCAAAGTGACACACGTCTGATGCAAAAAGTCACTCCCCCAATGTCTCTTTCTCCAAATTAAAGGTTACTATATAGTAAAAAAAAATGTATAAATAACATAAAAAAATTTAAAATTAACAACAAAATTGTCTGGCTTTAATGATAATCACTTAGAATTATTTTATATGATTTAAATTTGATTTATATAATTATTTTATGATTTCTATTATTATTAATCTATTACGCAGAATACATTTTAGTTGAACAATTATTATAAAGCCTTTATTTTAAATGAATATTAATATATACAGATCAAATGTAATATAAATAAGCTGTAGAATCAATAGATAACACTTGACATGACTACATGTGATCTTACATGCCTCTATCGCTAACTTCTCAAGTTTCACTTGTGACTGCACTGATAGAGCAAGACGATTTCTTTTATTTGTCCTCTTTCATGGACAAGTACTTTATTCAGTGTAAATGCGTTTAAATTCCTTATATTCTTCAATCTCTTAACCTTAAGCAAAATAGTTTTTGGATCTCGTTGGCTCTGTTGCCAGAGGTGAATCACATTTGCTCTGTGTTGCGAGGCATGTGATTGGCTGTTCACCAGTGATGTCACACATTCATGTGCACGTGCTCCACAAACTCAGGATCAAATCCTTAGTTGACAAAGAAAGTTGATGATCAGCGTCATGGTTCCAACAAAGCTGGATTGGAGTGCTTTGGTTTTATTAACTCGAAACTCATCCTGTAACTCAGAATTTGTTCAGCTACCATCATGGTACAAGCCCCTGGTTATTTTGGCAATTTAGAAATCCTGTGCAGAACGTGTCCCCGGAAAGTGGTGCATCTGGTCACCTTAGTCTACGCATGACCTGACATTTTATTTGTATCCAAAATGGGGAGATGTGAACATTACCAAAGACTATAGAGATGCAAAGACGGTTCACTCCGATACTTATGAATGAGAGAAACCGCAACTCGCAATATGGTGGATTAGTCCCACCTTCAAAATGAAAGAGCCAATCACTGATTGGTAAAGTCATTGCAACTGCCATTAGAAACTCCGGTTCCCATAGAAACCTGAGGCTAGACCAGCCAATGTGCATACGGATTCCGCCATTCATTTAGATAGGACTTGGTCTTATATGAGCAGCCCGGAGTGTCAAGGTCAGCAAGAAGAGACCCAAATGCAGAGTGAGTGAATCAAAGATTTATTGAAAACACACAAGGTCACTCAGCATAGGGGTGGACAATCTTGAGACCGCTCCAACCAGCAGGGAGAGAACTATGCCCCAGGAGGTAGAACAGTCTAAGTTGTTGGCCAAACCAGGCAGAAGGATTGGGAGAAGACCAGAGAAGAGAACAGCAGAGCATGCAATCAGAGTGAAGGGACTCAAAGTAGGCCAGTATCAGAGATTAGGGGCCTCATTTATAAAATGTTATGCAGAAACCATCCCAAATTAGATTTTACGATCACCCATCACATATATGTACATGTGATTCATAGAATGAACGTACGCACAGAAAACACACGTACGCCTCTCTTTCAGATGTGACATATGAATCGCAAATGAACTTGCGCGCAACTAAATAAAGAATAAAAGATCACCAGTCATCGTCCATATCCTTTGATTTAGAACAGCGAGCTGCAAGAACAGCTTACATTTTCAAAAACCTGCAGTATTCTGACAAGAAAAAGTAGGTAGCCTACGTCTGCTCAGACCCTGACGTGACGCTAAGCACTTTTCCGCGTCAAAGGCACTTTTTCTATAAATATGAGCGTTGGTGTGGATTTAAGCGTACACACACTCTAAGATCAAATCTGAGCATACACACATTATATAAATTAGGCCCTAGGTTCTCAGCACCAGGCTTGGTTGGCATATCGCCTTGGGGAACCAACAGGCAGGGAGTCTCAGGCTGGTAGAGCAGGGAACACACAGCACAAACACACACGAACACACAACTAGACCAAACAAGACACCACTCAAGACCACTCAACAACACTACTCAGCACAAAACAAGGAGAAACAACATGATTCAACAACATGAAAAATAACATAAGAAAATATAGAAGAACTAAACAATCAAAACCAAAAGTAAAGGAAATGTCTAATAAATAAATAAAGTATAAAATCCAAGCAATACAAGACTAGAAACAAGACTGAAGAACAACTAAAGAAAATAATACAAATAAATAAGCAAGATTACTGAATGATCAGAAACAAAAAACAAAAGGGAAAACAAGAGAAAAACTGCAGCACGGATACACAATCAGCAAATAACAGAACAAGACTAGAATATAGAGCAGCGAGTCAGAAACTGTCTCTATGGCACAAGAGGAACCCACAAGCACAAGAGGAAAAACAGCACAATATAAAGAGAAGAGCACGAGTACACGAGGGCCAGGTGAGCACAATTAAGAAAACGAGGACAAGACAAGGGCTAAACAAGAGGGCATGACCAAGGGAAACAAGGAGGTGGGACAACAGGAAAACATGGCAGACACAAACAAAGACAAAGCAATGTGTTAAGACACAAGATAAACAAACAAACAAAAAACATTAAACAAAGACAATACAGACAAAGCTGCCAGGGCAGAGCCCTGTTATGGAGGCATTGCAAATATGGCCGCCGAGTGAACAGACTTAACTTGAAAGGGACTTCGACATTACAGAGCGCTAAACACTCTCATGCAGTGTATGTTTCATTCATACACAAAGCTGGAGGGCGCTCTCGCGCAGAAAGTCCAAAATGGAAGTAATAACTTATGTCGTGCCAAGAAATCCTAATATGGACAAAGGCATCCAGCAATCCCATGTAAAGCTGAATAAAAAAGACAATACATGCACGATTGCGACAATATATGGTTTGTGTCAAGTGATCTCCAGGTAATAATAAAGTATCTGAATAATGCAGTGCTAACTGATAACTGACATAGCATTTACTGTATGTGGTTTACGTATGTGTGTGTCTAAAAGTAAAGGTTAGTTTAAAGCACTTAATTATTATATATTTGTATAGAGTCTATTAATGTATTAACTACATTAATGATTTGTAAGTACTTTATTACTTCTTATAAAGTGTTACCGTAAATTGCACAACATACCTTAATATTCACTAAAACAGAAACATTAAGTAGTTCCAACATGCATTACTGAACATCTGGTGACATTCAAATGCTGCAGTTACTATTAACCTTTCCAATGGGTTGAAAGGTGTTGATTGCTACAGTGTCTCAGGTCTTATAAGACACCAGTAGATTTTATCAGAGTAGTTATTTTTGCAATTTTAGAACTTTTCCATGCTTACATTAGCAATTTCCTTTTCCATCGTCATCACCCGGGCAACCTCTTGCCTGATATTAGTGTCATTGACCTCCAGACCCCGGTCTGTTCGGATAAGCTTTGCCAAGTCAGTCATGAAGTTCTCATATGTCACACAGGCCTGAGAAAAACACACATTGAAAACACATGAGTGCTAAATTCAATACCTGTTAGCATGCATATTTTCTTCATTAATTTACGATAACAGCCAGATTCTGGCTTCCCGGTCATTTAGGAAGTATTTGGGCACTCTGTGAGAAATTATTCAAGCTAATTCCTTATTTCCTCTCATTCTCTGCTTTACTGCAAAAAGTTGCATAATCATAAGTTCAAACTGGAAACAAAAGACAAGATCTTGGTCCAAGTATTTTCAATCTGTTTGTCCCTTTCTAACTTTCTTTATTGCCTTTTTGTATTAAATTAGCCAGGCCTGGAACATAATAAAGGCAGAGAGCACTTATATGTCTGACATGAATAACGATCAGTTGATGATAACTAACAGTTTGTGTCCACTGAGTCTGAACACTCCAGTCCAAGAGTGACGTTGCAAAAGAAATTATATGCAAATTGATTATCTTATTTTAATTGAGTAGACTGTTGGATCTTTTAGGAGATGGACTGGGCTTATCTTTCACTTCTAGCTTGTGTGGTCTCGGCAAATCCAAGGTGGGTTGTTTTATCTGTAACTCCTAAATTTGGTCAATTTCATAAATATTGACTTTTTATTGGATAAATAATGTGAGAAAGAAAATGTTGTAGAGAAAGACAGACAGCTAGAGACCCTTCTTGTCCATTGCTTAGACTAGCCTGAACCAACATGAAAATTCATTATGGTCTAAGCTCATCTTTTTAGCAGGGAGAAGAGAGGTGAAGGGAAAAAAGAGAGAGGGAGATAAAAGCATGAGTATAAGTTTGACAATATCCACCTGTTCCTGTTTAACAGGCTATTATTACCTCCTCATATGGTCCCGTGCACACATAGTAGTCTCTTGAGGAGAGGCCAAGACTTGAATGGTCAAACTGGCACAGAGAATAAAACCAAGAGACAATCAGCCTTTCTTTCTTAATAGAAAACTCAACGCATACACATGTAGTGCCACCCCAATAAAACTGTATCAATTACTCCAATTACTCAAACCTCACAAAGCAATAAACAAGGATACTGTTTGTTTAAAGCAATTATGCGATTTTGCAACTTAAAAGGCCCTTTTTTGTGAAGAAGTGTTTTCAACTAAAGCAAACATGCATTTGTGTTTGTATGCAAAAGAGAAAAGAGGTAGTCTGTTGTTGCGCACACCTACATGAATGATGTGCGCATTGGAGTCTCTGTCATCTGTACCAATAAAAAAGCTAATCAGGACTTGCTTTCCATATTTCTCATTCAGTTTGGCTATGGCATCTTCTGCTCTCCAATTCATTCCTGTAGAGGAGAGGAGAGGATAGGAGAGGAGAGGAGAAATTGGGATATAAAGTACCTATGAGGTAACTGGCCACATGCATAAAAACCTACTGAGAAATCTTCTCCTACCGTAGCTGGTGTCCCAATCATCTGTTGCTATAGGCCACTCAAAGACATCTGGCAGCACTGCAAGCAGAGGCGTCCCACCTCTCTGTTCAATGAGGCCTGTCAGGAAAATATTGAAGTAATGCAACATTATTTAAGCATCCAGTGAACACTGAAGTTGTTGAAATTTGAATTTGTTTGTTGAGAATCTCTTATGAATCTCATGTTTGGCAGCTCATTTGAAGAACTGCATAATGATTTGTTGGACAGAGTCATAATCGAATCTTTCTGACAATTTATGAAGATACAGTATAATATTAAAGGGATAGTTCACCCAAAAATCGCCCAGATTTTTGGACGTCAACGTCCAGAAACATAGCAAGGAGATCGGTAAAATAATCCATGTGACATCAGAGGTTCAACTGTAATTTTACGAAGCTATGAGAATACTTTTTTTACGCAAAGAAAACAAAAATAACTACTTTATTCAACAATTTGAATAAAGCGCCATTTTGGAGAGTATCCACTGAACGCAAACAGCGTATGCTATTCTGTGTCAGCCGCACCACACGGATAAGTTGTTTACATTCAGATCAAAGCGTAAATGACGTAAACAGCGTATCCGTGTGGTGCGGCCATAATAATCCATAATGTCACATGGATTATTTTACCGATCTCCTTGATACGTTTCTGGATGTTGATCTTGTTAATTACATTGCTGTCTATGAGAGGGTCAGAGAGCTCTCAGAATGCATCAAAAATATTGACATCAGAGGTTCAACTGTAATTTTACGAAGCTATGAGAATACTTTTTTTACGCAAAGAAAACAAAAATAACTACTTTATTCAACAATTTGAATAAAGCGCCATTTTGGAGAGTATCCACTGAACGCAAACAGCGTATGCTATTCTGTGTCAGCCGCACCACACGGATAAGTTGTTTACATTCAGATCAAAGCGTAAATGACGTAAACAGCGTATCCGTGTGGTGCGGCCATAATAATCCATAATGTCACATGGATTATTTTACCGATCTCCTTGATACGTTTCTGGATGTTGATCTTGTTAATTACATTGCTGTCTATGAGAGGGTCAGAGAGCTCTCAGAATGCATCAAAAATATCTTAATTTGTGTTCCAAAGATGAACGGAAGTCGTACGGGTTTAGAACGACATGAGGGTGAGTAATTAATGACAGAATTTTCATTTTTGGGTGAACTATCCCTTTAAACCTGAGCTATATTGCCCTAAGTCTTCAATCAACCAATACTCACTCTCATTAGTGCAGGACCTGTAGAGAACTTTGGTTTTGGTCAGTGAGCTACTGCTTCCACTCTCTTCTCTCTCCAGCACTCCTATAGTAAAATAATATAAAGTATCATTGCATTTGTTGGACATTATAACAGACTGTCTTGGAGATGGATTTCAAATGTCAGTTTTGCATCACCATCATAGAGAGTAGCTAAAAAAAAATCCTAAATGAAAACCTCATACATCATGCTTTTGTGACTACTTTGCTCCTGTCTACCTCTCCTTCAGTAAGTAGCCCAGCTGTTGCTTTAAATCTCTTATATCCTGTTTGCAGTACTTGTGTTCAGATTTAGTTTTAATTAGTGCTTGGGTCCAAGTGTTTCCTGTGAAAGGGCACAGATCATGTGTGAGTGATTGGATTAGAGACCGCCTGGTGGCCATGTGGCACGAACCCCTACAGCTTCAAAACTCTGTCACTTCATCTCAGTCACTCTTTTTCTCCATCCATCTGACATGTGCAGATTACTTGCTTTTTTTCTCTTACATTATATGTAGAGCTAATTTACAGATAAAATACTTGTTTCAGAAAGTCTTGAAACACATGTATCATTGACCAGCCTATAGAGCTGTAGTGTCTATATTGTGCCCGCTACTTTGTTTTAGCAGCTGATTCAATTATAGGGATATTTAATATTTTAATATTTAGTCAACTCCCTATATTGTGGAATTCTCTCACAACTATTTAGTAAATTTTCCAGACTACTGACTAAATACACCACAGATTTAGTCATTAGTTAGACCAAACAGTACTTTAACCAGCAATAAAATGTTTTTATATTCTTTGTTTTTGTAAGCCAACACAAATTATAAATGTAAAAAAAAAAAAAAAATCCTAAAACAGCACTGAATTTCCAAACACACCCATTGAAGTGGAAATAAACGAAAACAGATGTATCTCTATCAAAGCCAAACTACTGTTAGTTCTCTCTCTCTCTCTCTCTCTCTCTCTCTCTCTTTTAATGGAATGACCACGAAAGCTTGTCTACAGCTCCACTGAAAGTTACTTTTTGATATTGAGATCAGTAGCCTTATCTGATCCACATCTCCTGACAAAGCCCACTCTGTCCCGGCAGGAAACAGCCCTTCCCTCGAGCATCTCCTGCATGTATATGCATGAGTATTCTGCTGGCCCTGTTCAGAAAGCTTCTTGTATTTATAACCCATTTTCTGTCATCTTGATCTGGATTATTCCTCTCTCAGCCTATCACAGAGGCCTAAGTCTGCTAGAGATATGTTAACATTTAGACATTAAGATCCATAATGTAGTAAATTTATCTTCCATTTTCTGTGATGGCAAAATATCCCTGATTACAGGAATGATTTAATGCAAAGTGCACTGCCTGCAGAAAAAGGAAAAAAGAATGATGTAAATTCCTCTGTTTTCTTTTCATTCATGTTTCATCTTTTTCTTTCCATTTCCTCTTCCTTTATCTTCCTATTAGCCGGTTTTTAAAAAAAAACTGTCTGTGATCTCTCTCACTCTTTGTATTTCCTCCCTGCTTCTCTCTTTTTTTATCAGCTTTTATACTCTCTATAAGTTTTGGATTGCACTGTAACTCTGGCTATTTCCAGCGGTTCTGCTAACTCACATACTGAAGTTTATATAGTGGTTTGCAACTCCTCACACCTGAGCAAAGCACATGCTTCTCAACCAGGAACAGAAAATACCCCCTGGCCAGATAAATCATTTGAACAGCATCCAGGGTAAATAGACACATTTACTGTAATATGGTACTGAATTGATGCCACAAGTATGTGAAGCTTGGTGGTAAAGATGGAAGACAGTGGTTATTTATGCCAAAAACTGCTTAGATAAACAGCTAATAGGTTGTGTAGAATAAAATGGAGTAGAATTAAATTCAAAATACTCTTTTTTGTATGTTCTTAGTGGAAGGTTTAATATAGGCTTGCTTTTTGGTGCCAAGCATGAGGATCAATAAATAAAAGTCATATTAAATAGAAGTGATCAAAGTCTGCACCAAGAGTGAAATGGAACATGTTTTTCTGTGGCCTCATCAGATTGAACTGTTGTGAAGGTTCAGTGCTTTCATTATTGAGACGACAGACTCTGGACTGGCAAAGGTGCAATGTAAGCATTATTAAAGGGCACCTGTTATGCCCCTTTTTACAAGATGTATTATAGATCTCAGGTGTCCCCAGAAAGTGTTTGTGAAGTTTCAGCTCAAAATACCCAAGAGATCATTTTTTATATCATTTTGAAAATGCCTATTTTGAGTGGAAGCAGAAACAGGCTGTTTTAGTCCATTTCTCTTTAAATGCAAACAGAGAGTGGCTGTCACACGCATGTAAAGTTCACTTTTACTCACAAGTTTATGCTAAAAACACGCTTAAGTTACAAAAACACAGTCAGTTATGTCTGTGAAGTTAAACAGCTGGGAAAGAAAACGAATGTCTATATTAGAACTAATCTAGATTAGATATTAGATATTAAGTGAGAGCAGCATAATATACAGTACCTATACTGACCGATGTTTGGGTCTATGCTGTTAATATGACCCAAACAATAAAATAAAAGCAGAAAACCACTCACTGCTCTGGACTGAACAACTTCTATAGCTCTAATAAGAAGACATTTCTTACTTGAATGCTGCTTATGCTCTGGCATGAAGATAAACATGGGAGATAGTGTGTGTGCGGCTCACTCAGGGCGGGGTCACGGCTAATACGGCTGTGTCAGTCAACTATCGTGGGTGGGGCTGGTAAAGTGTGACGTCACACTTTACGGATTCTGTGATCAGTAAGCTCTGAGACACTGCTCATGATTTATAGAGATTTTTTAAAAAAGGAGGGGGTGGATTTTTATCATTATAAGGTGGCTGTGTACACACACTGCCAACACACATTTATGTTCAAACAACATGTTAGAGTGAATTTTGCATAATAGGTACCCTTTAAAGTGTTTTCAACACAGGTTTGTAGAGGCTTTTATGGCATGAACTTTGGCTAATCTTACTATACACAATAACTATGCAGCAAGTGAAAGTGTGTGTAGCTCTTTCTGCTTTTATGCAAATAGAAGTTGTATAATCATGTATGTGACAACATATTTACAATTGGCAAAGACCAAATGTAACCATTTGACACTGAACTACTAAAAAAACATTATGGCTGAACGCTAATGTGAATATTAGAATGGAATGTGTCCCGTAGTGGCTATGGTCCCATAAGCATAGTCTTCATAAGCATTTACTCCACAAATTAAACCCATCTCTCAAAGTCCCAACAGCTGAAATACAAATGTGAGGTTGGGAAACCGAAGAATAGGCCTTGAACACTAATTTAATCTAAACTGCATTTGCATAAAAGTCTAATCAAATTTCTAAATAGACTCTTATTTTCCAATCAGCATTTCCTTTCATCCCTCAAAAGCTCAGCACACTGAAAAATGCTAATGAGGGGATTTAGATTTCTCTGGGGAAGACACAATCCTCACTACTCCTTGATGGTTATTTTTATTTCACCCTCAATGTTTGTTCATTGATTAGCAATGATTTTCAACTAATTAAACATTAAATAAGGTGAAAAAAGTCATAGAAATTCTCATCAAGGCGATAATAAATGGAAAATGAAGCACGTCCTTGTTGATTTTGCTGTAAATCAAGAACGCATTACCACTCTGAATTAAAAGCTCATAAAGAAAAAGCTGATTGTAACAGATAATTAATTTTTAAAAGGTGGCACAGAGAGAGGGGTTGTAAAAAAAAGTGCTGAGCCAGCTATGTTTTGACAAGCACTACCGTCAAGGTTAAGTTATAGCTCTGGTAGCATTTGACCCCTGAATCTTGAGCTCCCCTCAGATTCAATAACATTTACCTCCACAACACATCCACAAGCCTCTGTTTGTGCACAGCGCCCTACAGCTCCTAACCTCTCCAGCCAAACCTCCTGTGTTTATCAGGTCAAGCCTTCCTCCCTCCACCTCCTGGAGCATGATGATTAGCACACATGCCTCCTCATCTACGCCCCCTCTCAAACATCTCTTGACCTCAAGGGGCTGCTCTGAAATTGTCCCTGTAAATCAGTGCCCATGCTGGGGTTAATAAGCTCTTCGTTCCTGGTCAGACAGCTGAGGTTTCACGTCTCCAGGAGCTGAGGGCCCTCAAATTGAGGCCTCCGATCACCTCAGAGCCATTCCCACATCCTCAGTCCACATCCTGTACAACCCTGCAGTATAACATCAATGCTCTCTCCATCCCTCAAGACACACTACAGTGCTGTCAGCATTTACAGATGAAACTGTATTTGTCTGACAGGTTCCACTACTGTGTTAAAAGGAACAAGAGGCACCACTTTAAATTTTAACGTCAGAGCCTCAGGCAGAGTCTCACTGAGCTTAAAATAGCTCACATCAGACACAACTAAACTGTAGATTCAATGGATTCTACCTGTTTTTAGTTGCTGCTTTTGTGGCCAAGCGGCTCTATCTAAACTCATATCTGAAATATAGTATGTAAATTAATTGAATACATATATTTTATGTATTCATTTATTCTATAAGATACTGTATAAATAGACTGGAATCAATATTAAAATATTTGTGTGTGCTGTTTTTTTGTACGGAGCCTCACACATGGCATACAGGAGGAAAACAAAATATTATAGTGACAAATTAGGAATTTGTTTCCACAACTTATTAATTCATTCACTCAACTTATTAATTTGTTCCCCCGTTTTAGGTGAATCGTGGCCATAATTTAAATAAATGAAAACAAAAGAACAAATTACAACATGGCTATGATTTACCTAACTGAGGGAACAAATTAGTACAACGTGGTAAAGATTTACCGGAAACAGGGGAAATACAAATTAATAAACCACAGCCATAAATTAATAAGCCATGGGAACTTAATTGTTAATTTGTGCACACAATCTTTTTTCCCAGTATATCATGTCTGGGGCTCTGTATTTTTGTGATCATTAAAGTACATGCTAACGTCAAACTCTACAGAAATCAATTGCACTTCACCCCATGAGTTGCTGCCTATGTAAAGCATTCTAAATTGGTTAGTCTGCTACCTTAGTAGACAACATGCCTATGTAGGTAGGATACAGCAAGCAGCTCACTAACAACAAAGCCACATTACAATATTGTGTCATGAACTTAGTGGGAGACATGGCCTGGCGGGTATGCCTTTTTTCTTTTAATTGGTCTTATTGCCTTTGGATTACATGCATACATCTTTTCAGTTGCTGATAACTAGCCCTACAGCCCATAGTAGTGTCATTCTACCTTTGAGTACCACCTCCAGTTCATCTCTGAGAATGTCAAAGGTACTGTAACGTGAACTGGTCTCAGGTATGATGTTCTTCTTTAGCCAGCCACCACAGGCATACTGGTAGAAGTTGTCACAGGGGTTCACTGTCGGGTCCATGTTCTCAATGAGGCGGGATGCTACAATGCCAGAGAATTTTTTTTTATGTATGAACTTTGACAATTATGTGCAAGAAAGGCTATCAGTTGACTTTCAGACATAACATGATTAATTATTTGCAGTATGTTGTAAAATATCTTTACCTGACTGTGTGCAGTCAGCTGTTATGCAGACTCCATCTACAAACGAAAAAGAAGCACAAGGGATCAGAGGTCAGGAGCAAATTAACACTATTAATACTTTATTTAATAATAAATCAAACTGCTATTCAAAAATTATTTCTCTGTGGTGGGTTCAGTTACATCTCCACAGAAAATTCTCTCTGTTCATTTTATATCTGCCCATAGACATACAGTATTATTTATGAGAATCTCTCACTGAACTAAGATTCAATAGGCATCCACTCTCTGACCTTAGTCCCTACCGCCCTGCCCTCCTATCCAGACCCCCATGGCTGAGAGGAAGAGCATGTGGAGATCATCTCTGTATTTCAGCATTCTATCTGCCTTTGCTGTTTAAACATTTATCCAGCACATTAATGGCAGATGATCAGGGTGTGAAAGGCAAGCTGCAGTGAGTCCCTATAAGCTCCATCTGCTGCTCAGAGGCCTAACGAGGGAAAGGGGCTTACATGGGTATCCAACCATATTACAGAGTAGATATTATTTGGGGAACACCAGTATGTGCCAGCTTGATTCAATACTGCCCTGGGAAAATAACCACAGAATCTAAATTTGTTTTCACTTACCAACAGTTGTCTGGTTAAAACAAAACATTCTTAGTGAGGCATGGCAATGTATTCAATATTTACAATACAGGCCTATTCACTGTGATTTTGTTGGCAATATAAAATTAGCAAATTTGTGAAAATTCCAATTTTTATAATGTACTGTACAGTGAAAAAAAAGTGAAACATCTGTGTCATTTATTAAAAGTATATTTTTGTATTGTTCTAATGGAAAATCATGATTTCCAGTTGATACCTGTTTCATTCAGCTGGATAAAATGAAATAATACTCCCAATAGAATGAACGAATGAATGAACGAATGAATGAATGAATAGTATTTTTCATTTAGTGTTGATGTGCAGAACACTGCACTGGCTACTGGCTACTGGCTACTGGCTACCTTTGCTGACTGCACAATTTTTTTTCTGTTTTATTTTTTTATTTTTCTGTTTTATTTTATATTTTATTTTATTTTAATTTATTTATTTTTGTTAGAACATAACAGAAAATATGCTGCATACACACACATGTTGAATTTACAAATCATGTTGCTTAACTGGTTTATGTGGAACTGATGTACATGATTAAATAATGTAAATCCAACACACGTTTTTTCTGTGTATCATCTTTATGATACAGTTTTGGTTAATGTTGAATGTTTCCTTTGGGAAAAGAATATCTATGATTAATAATTAGTGTTATAATTAATCATTTGTGTTATAACTCCCTGTGTAATATGCTTTGTGTGGAGGTAAATATTGCTGATTATTTCTTTGTATTGTTGTTTTGGTAGATATAAATATCATTATTCCTTGTGTTTTCATGGACAAAAGGGTAAAAAAAAAAAGCTTTTCCAATAATTTCTGAACTGACCACAATGGAAAAGGCAGCTCAAAAGCAGCACTGCCAGTTTTTCTGTCACACAATGATGAAAATAATCTCATGCACTCACCTTTGCCACTCTGTGTGATGAAGAGGATGATGAGGGCCACGATAATGACAAACAGCAGAGAAACAATTGTCAGAAGACCGATCTCTAGTGACGTCCAGTGGGGCTTTTTTTTCTGAGTGTTGTTGTCAGCCATGGTCTGCTGTCCCTCTGGGGCAGCCTGTAGAAACTCACCTAAAAAGAGTTGAAGAGATTCAGATTCAGTGGAATTCAAGCACAGGTGATTTCACTGTGAGTTTCTTTGAGCATGGTCTCTCTAAACAAATACAGCTTGTCCTTGGTCACAGAACTTACCTGTTTTTTTACAGATTTCAGACATGCACAGTCCACACTTTGAGCTGTTAAATTTTTTGCAACAGGTAATTCATTACTGATCCCTCTACGCCACACAAACACACACTCTTGATTCACAGATACTCTCTGACTCTGGTCACACATATGAAGTGCTCACACTGTAACACACTGGGTTACAAGCTGAGGCAGAGACCTGACTCTGCAGATGGGCAGCTCCTGCTGTGTTCTGGCTGACATGACAGGACCCCGACCTGGGGACAAAGTCTTAAAGTCGTCCTTTGAAGGAGGCTGACACTCTCTCACACACATACACAAATACACAACACAGCATTTCAGGCCAAATACACACAAACCCAGACTCTCATTTACACTGCGGCACATTCACACAATCTTGTCTCTTTTAATTTATGTTGTATTTGTGGATAATAAATTGTGCTTCCAGGGGGCAGTGGCTCTTATCTAAGTCACATCACAACATCTGCATGGGTTAGATCCGGCCGGTTAATCTTGTGGACTTTTAGAGGAAAACGTGTGACTGGTGTAACTATTTTAGACAGAGGCTGGTTTTATAACTGCACTGCAGTTAATTATACTTAAACATGAATAATTAACGACTTGTAAAACTGTAAGCTGGAGTCAGGCACACTTTTAATCACACACTTGATCACACTTGTAACACATACTCTGATAAAATGGCTCTTCTTTCATGTGTAAGCATTTGCAGGTGCAGACAACCCTATCATGACTATAACACTACTTGACAATTCTGAATCTTCTCCTAAAATCCCTGCAGCCAATGTGAACTTGAGCGTATTCATATGTATTTTGCATTAAATGTGGTTCTACCACACATACATGTACTTACATTTGTATAGACACTAAAACATACAATACTATTGACAGCATCTAAAGCATAAATCTATTTTGTTTACAGACATACAACAAATCCTATTTAATCAGTGAATATTTATTTCATGTACTTAATTGGGATTGATTCTATTGTATTTATAATCAGTGAGATTGTTTTTAAAGTTGCATTTAATTAAAAGCAGTTGGCTCATTTCACTTCACATTTCGGTTCTGGGTGACTTCTGGAGCTAGCTTGTTTCAAAGAATTACATAATTTTAAAGAAGACTACACTTTAAAATATTAAAATGAATACAATGTATGTAACGTTTACCATTATTTATGTATTATTTATTTTGTTTGCCATGGGACACAGCAGTTTGCAGTGAAAAAAAAAAAACTAAGTTACACCACAGGTGCACCATAAAACGATCATAAATACATTTACAAAACATAATACATTTTATGTTTAAGCTGTCATTTTCAGTGTTGAACCTCACTGACTGTTATTGTATGGTCAATAACAGTTCAAACATTATTCAAAATATCTTGAAGAAAGAAAGTCATACAGGTGTGGAGTGACATGAGGGTGAGGAAACTGACTAAATTTTTTGGTGAACTATATCCCTTTAAGAGTCTAAATACTAGACATAACCTAGTAACAATATTGAAAGCTTAGAAATCACTGTAAAAGGTAGAGGTAAAGTATTTTGTATTTCTGTAAAGCTAAATTTTGCACTTCAATGTATAGAACATGACCGTGGCTTGGAATGCTTAGTATATGCTGTCAGACTGTAGTTTCCTCCATATGTGCTGATAATAGGCCATTAAAGAAATAGAGTGTTGTACTCTGAGCTGGATAATTGAGAGGCTTTACTGGCCACAGAACCACTCCAGGGCTTCCCACTAAATGGCAGTTTTACATGTTTTCATGTAGAGATCCAGCCTTTATAGCTGATGCAGAGAAAGTCTAAATTTCAAAGTCTTTTTATATATATATATACTATAGCTTCATAATTTTTTGGTTGCATAGAGTAGGGTTTTTCAACAGGGGGTTCTCTTAAAACTGCAGGGAGTTTATGAGATTGTGTCAGAGATCTGTAGTTAAATTAAACTGTGGTAATTTTTTAACTTTAAAATTATATTCAGTGTAGCTAAAAATAACAGAATTCATATTTTTCCTTTTGTTTTGCAGCAATATGATGCTTTGCTGCTCAAGGAACTTTTCTTATTATAAACAATTCTAAAAGCAGTTGTATTGCTTAATATTTTTGTAGAAACCGGGATACAAATTTTCAGGGTTCAATGATCAATTTAAAGTTCAAAACAACAGCATTTATTTGAAGTAGAAATCTTTTCTAACATTGCATACATCTTGTGGGCAATATCTTTACTAAATTCTGTTTAGATTAGGTACATCTACAGCGATGAACAAAGCTGTGTATCTCTCCCAGCCCTGGTCTGTGATATTACCCTAAGTGGCTATGTAACGGCTTATGCATGTCCTCTGACTTCACACTGTGGACATGATCAGACCTCAGGGCAGAACAGTTTCTCCTGGTTTATCTGCTCGTGACTGCGACAGGTCTGGAGCAAATCAGAACCAAGGGCGTCTTCATCAGCTTTGAATTTCCAAATCCATCTAGGACACTCAGGCAGGGATTTGATTTAGATTATTGTAAAAGGGGAGGGAGTGTGCAAGAGATAGTGACAGATGCGTCACTTGCCGCACCACGCATAATCCTAACATACATAGAGAGTCCCAGGACCCCCGGATCAGATGTCGTCTGACGTATGTGGATCGGCAGGGAACCAACCCGCCTTAGCGGGTGTACTGCATCTCCCTGAAGGAGTAGGGAACAGGAAGACCTTTCAACCTAATCTCTTCCAGCACAGTCATGCTGGTGTGTTCACAAACCAAACTTAAGAAAATGAATCATGTTTTTACTCCAGGAAGTTATGGCAGTTAACCAACCTGTAAAGGATATATTTGTAATTGTAATGTTAAAATACCATCCTGTACCCTCCCTCCCTGTGGACTGAGATTTTGGGATAGGCCTCAGGATCCCCACCACACTGAAAGATAAGGGGTTTGGAGAAAGGATGTGTTAAAATATCTTCTCACTTTAATAAGTCCCTGAAGCGAACCAGCCCATTACAGCAAAACTGACTCAGCCAATGGCATGAGTTTCAGGGAGAGACTATTTATGTATGCATGTATGTACTGTATTTTCGTATTTATTTACTTACTTATGTACTTACTCATTTATTTGAAAATATTTTACAAAATGTATTGTTTGTTTTTCATACACTGAACGTCACTGTGGAGTCCAAAACAAAATGCACAATGAATAAAAACCTTCTTCAATATATATTTTGTGTTACACAGAGGAAAGTATTGGAACAACATGACAGTGAGTAAATGATGACATACGGAATATGAGGAGGCCTCATTTTAAAAGTTCTCGATCTGTAAAAATCATGCAAATTAATAAAATCTCATAAATCAATGGGTTTTTATTATAATGAATAGGGTAAGATGCGGATGATGCCCTCCTTAAGAATAATGTGCATTTACTTTTAAATTGTAACATTTAGATGTAAGCATGTGCAGGATGATGATGCATAAGCCTGTGTGTTGTTAATGGAAATAAATATAAACATTTGCTAATTTAGTTGTTATAGCACAAAATCTAAAATATTTGAAGAGCTCCCAGAATCACAGTAAAACAGATATTTCTAAAAGGTAAATGTATTCTATGACTTACATACACGTACATAAATATTTACATATTTAATTGCCAATATTTTGGATCACTATAAATGCAAAGTGAATGATTACACTCAATTAGCCTATAGGTTTTAATGAAAATCGAAGATGTCTAAAATGTACAGCTAATTCATGGAATATTGAATAATAACCTGTAGCAATCTGGTTCAGTTCTGTCTTCTCTTTCATGGATTAGTTTGTCATTTGTTTAGTCCCTGTTTCCTTTGTTCCCATTTCTAGTTTGTTTCCATATTTACCCAGAGTTTGTTTCCAGAGTTAACTGATGAGTCCCAACTGTGCCTTGTTTTACTCTCATTATTTTTCATATTTTCCCTTCAGTTTGTTCAGTTCCTTGACTTGGTTTAATTTCACTGTTGCATGTTATTACACCTTCTTTCCTCATAGGTCTAAGTTTATCTTTTTACTTCAAAATGAAAGCACACAAAAATGGACCAGAGACACACACACACAAAAAAAATATACATATAATAATAATAATAAAAATAAAAACATCTAACCTCAAACATGTTTCAACTGACTAAATCTCACAAATGTTGATATGCAGATGAAATAAATATATACATACATGCATAAACAGCCATAAAAATTTTTTAGGAGGGCATCATCTTGCCCTGGGAGACATCTTACACTATACATTTTTCTAGTTATGCCAAGTTCTAAAATATTTTCCCAGGTAGAATCTTAATCTGTATCCAGTAAATCAGAAACAACAGGAAAAGTCATGGGGTCTTTGATTATTGTTGTTTACCACTGCTTTAAAAGTAGGCACATGTACTTTAGAAGTTGTGGAACAATAAGATCTTCATCACTGTCCACTAAACAATTACAAACCAAGCTTCTGTTTTGGCAGGAAACACAGACGATTTAAGGGTTTCTTCTCATTTTAATAAGCCACTAGTAATTATCAGCCATCATCAGCTAGAGTGTGCTTTTTCCATGTTTTTCAGAAATAAAGATTGTAGCATCTTAGTAATTAGTAAATTAGTTTAAATTCCATAGATATTTCACAACAATTACCCTAAAGGTGGCAGAGACTTTAGAATCTAATTAGCAATCTAATACTTAAGAGAAAGTTGCCTCGCACTTGCTTTAAAGATTCTAGGTCGGAGCGTAACTGTGAGGGTCACCCATAATGCAAATTTAGTGCTTCAGTGCAGCTTTTACTGTAAGAGCTTCTGTTTGATTTCTTGTTGGCACTGCCATGGTGAATCACAGACTTGGCTATAATATCTGCCGTCTGCTTCGCTTCTGGCACAGCAATGGTGAATCCTCTAAGCATGTCTGTTAAGACAGACACATCCTCATACCCTCCAGATGACTTCTCCATCAAAATGTATCCTTAACAGCTCTTGGAAACTGTTGTGTTTGTACAGCTCATAGAGAATACATCTGTTTTGTAATTAAACCACACTGTTTACACCTCCATCTTAAATGACTTTAATCAGGCTTCTGAAATTTTGATGCTGTTAAACTCAGCCCCAGTGTTTATGCTAGGCTTTAAATACTTTATAGAAACAATAGCAGTATCCACAGACTTTTTTGTTCTTTTGAAAAAAAAAAATGCATCCCAGAAGCTCTTTTCTGTGGTTTTGCACTCTGGCTGAAGTTTGACAGGAATAGGCTACATGACAAGGTGTCCACAATTACATTCTATTTACAAGTCTCACAGTGTACTTAAAACTAGGGCTGTGCGATTAATCGAAATCGTCATAAAATCGCGACTTGAGCGTGCGCGATTTCTAAATCGCTGTACAGCACGATTTTCCGCGCCCCCGACCTCCCGCAGTATGCTATCCGAACCAATCAGAACATTAGATTTCTGCATCTGCCATGGTCTTAGATTTTCCATGTTTATGCTGCATTTTCAAACCTTTCCTCGCCTCTTATGAACACTGTTCAATAAAATAAGTGTTAAGGATTGGTACAAAATGGTTAGTTCATGGAGTGAGGTGTGAGTCCTATGAAATGCATTTAAGAAATGTGTCACATATTGTATGTTTATTGCAACTAACCCAAACCACCAGCCCTAACCTCAACAATAAAATATTTAAAGCAACATCAAAACTACTCTGTTAGTGAATCACTTTGTTAAAATAACAATTGCTTGTTCGCTAATGTTTAAGATGAGTAAATGTAATCGGAAATAGATTGGGCAAACTGAAAAAAGAGGAACAGAAAAAATGAAGATTCATGCTAATTTGGCAACATCCATATCTTTCAAGAGTGCACAAAATGAGGTAATACTCAAAAAAAGTGATGTCAACTGATAAGCAGACACTCACATCTGAAGGCATTTGAGGAAAAAACATGTCAGATAAGTGATGTGTTAAAACATTTTTAATTTTAAACCCAATCTCATTGGAAAAATGTGCCGTTATTACGTTGGTTGCTATCAGTTCGGAAATGAAATGTCCAGCGAGTGAAAAAAGGTTGGTAAAAAAGTAAAAGGTTGATGCTCTCTTGCGTTTGAAAATAGTGTACCACATACACTAAACCCATACCCTAAACCTAACCAATCGTGTTAACAAAGGAAGACATGAGATGAAAATGCATTTGCTGAAACAAACATGCCATTTTAGCTTGTCTTTACAAGTGTTTGTGCTCTTTTATTGCTGTAACATGTGAACTACCCAGCAAGTTTATTATATGTCAGAAAAGCCATACATATGGCGCTAGTAATATGAAAACAGGAGTTTATAACATAGTAACATAGTGCAAGGAACCATGTGAAAATAAGTCTTGATAGAATAATCTGCCCTATATCATAATTTGTGTAAACGTTATAGGTTAATTATTGGTTAAAAAATAAAGTGTCACACAGTCACAGTATTTCTACTTAGTTGTCTCTGAATATTTAGTTGGTAATTTAATGCAAATAAAATGTAAAAACTTTTGTGTTGTTTTGTTAAAATAGATTTAAAATGTACAGAAAACAATACATAATAGGTACAGTATTAATGTATACTACATTTTAGATTTTTATAAAATATCTGATAATTTGTATGACGTTCATATACAGTTAAAATGCTTAAAAACACATTTTATTTAAACACAAAACCTATTTATTCAATACTTATAGTATCTTATATATATATATTTATATTACAACCACATATTTTTTATGTTTAGTTGTCAGCAACAAGATGTCCAAAGCTGGACTGAGTTTGCCAGGCCTCTTTTAACACCTGTCAATTTGTCTGCTGTACGCAGAAACATCTCTAAAACACCTTAGCATAACTATAATATCTTGTTTTCTAGGGCTTTATAAACTATAATGAAATAATGAGGACTTCAGGTTTCATTTTAAGAGGAACATCACAGAGAGCAATGTCACTCAGCAACAGGAACATTGCATTCAGAGTTAATTTCACATATCTCAAAACCTAAGATAAATAACAATCTTGTGTTAAAACAACTGACAGATAAATATTAGTGCAGATGTTCCAGTCATGGAGATTTGCCATGTTCAAAGATGTAAAAGACACAACAGGCCGGAGACTTAAATGCTTTGATGTTTTGGAAAAACTGTTCATAAAAGTCTATCAGCAACAGTAGATTGGTTGTGCTGATCTGAGATAAAACACTCATGACCACATGGTTTATCATGTGTTCAGTGAGGAGGTGTCACCACTGTTGTAGCTTACAGGTCATGTTACTGTATGTACTTTTCTCCATCTCTATGTCCTCACACACAGAGTGTCACTATAGAACATTTATCTAGGACAAGCTGAGCAGATAACACATCCGTGTCTTATAAGGTTTCCAAATATGCAAAACATGACTGATGCATTTAAATTTACATTTCAGACCATGATAATTCAGCTGTAGAGTGTTGTAGCATGTGGCGAGTTGTAAAACCACCATTGTATTGAATTAGAAATGAGTTACTTGTACGAAATCACCATCATACGACCATAACCATCTTATTTCTATGTGTATTTAATATTTATATAAAACTAGAAATATCATGGGCGATCAGATGAAGATTTTTAACACTTTCAATATTCTTCTAAAGACTGCACAAAATGAAGACAAAAAAAAAATATACATTTTTTTCTTTTTTTTCCCCTCCAATTTCATTTGCTGTTTTGATTGTCAGTTGTTTACTGTAGGCTATGCATCCTATGTGTTACACTAGAAGGGTAGTTTGTACTGTATAAACAGCACCGTTTTGGAATGTTATACATTTCTGAACTACTTTTATTTGTAACAAACAAAGATGTGAATATTTGCAAGAAAAAAAAACACTTAGAGATGTATAGTAAAATGTTTTACACTGCTTGTATGTGGCAAGCATTGACATAAATGCCACATAAATAAATAAAAAAAAGTCGTTAAATTCCCAAGGAACATGGACATCAGCAGTTCTGAATTAAGTTAATTACGCATCTAATTTTAGATTTTATTTTTATTTTATTTTATCTGAGATGCTATTTAAAGGCAGGTAAATACTGAAACGCATTAAGTAGGCAGCCCATACTTTCAGAGCAGTGTGTATCTTAATATATAATAAGGACATATCTACACATGTTATTAAATAAAACAACTTTTACCATTTCCCAACCAGTGCCTAAATGAAATCTTGGTCAGTACACCATGTTTCTAAGCCATGTGCAGCATGCGTAGACTCACCAGGTGTCTCTGGAAATTTGCGATCGATGATATAAATGGGCATCACCAACCGATCAAACATCCATCAAATCCGTGAGAAAGATATCCTCCTTCCAGATCGATGACTTTTAAGAGTATTCTGGGTTCCCAGGATATCAATAACAAATCATTCAATGCTGTCAGTTCCCTGGGCTACCTGTTAACGTCGCGATAACGGGGTGTCCTTGTTTCTCACAGTTATTATTGGTGAGCATAAGAAAACACCTGGAAAACGCCTTAGGAATAATTCAGCGAAACGAATGATGTGAGACAACAGCGAAGTACTTAAGTTCAGCCGGTGTCTAATGTTGCCTCCCACGAAAGGCGGTGTTTAGGAGTGACTGAGGCTGGCAGCAATGCCAGCGCGGAGTCGAGCGCGCAACTGTGCGCTGATCTTGCACCAGTAAAGGATCAGAGCGTGACTCTGCGCTCCACTTAGATACGAAAATTTCTCGCACTTCTGCACTTTTTCTAGAATCTGTAAGGTTTTCCTTACTGTGAGAGTTATACTAAGACATTAAGGGGTTCCGGCGGTAATTTTCGGTGAACAATCCTTGATATTCTTCTTGCGCAAAATGTTCTGTTGGCTCCTCTAGAACAGTTGGCTATAACCAAATGCCTTTCGTACGTTTAAACAAACCATTCAAGTTTTTTTGTGAGTGTTCTTATTTATTATGTCTACAAGCGCTCGAATAGCGTACTGTTACTGTAACAACCTCTTCAAACGACTTTTGTTCATGTGCAACAATTTAACTTTTGTGTGTTTTTTTTGTTTGTTTTTTGTTTTTTGCAGACCTTAATTATGGGTTAATTATGGGTAGGCAATAATTATGGGAATAATTCACAAAATGTCATTATTTATAAAGGCCTACACTATGTCCACATTGATGATTGCAGACAAGCGATAGCATTTGAAAACAAGACCGTTGGAGCAAGTATTAATCATTGTCGACTTTCATTGCCTTCTGATATTTTAAAGGGCAACTGATCATGCAACTTGTTTGTCTTGCTTTACCCTTAATGTCTCACTTCTGGCTGAACTTATCAGAGTAATATCCATCACACCTAAAACTATCTGAAAAACATGATATTTTTTTGTAATTTGGTTTATATTTGCAATTGATCATTTGAATTTCAGACTTCTCCCATATAGCCAGATGGGAGATAAATAGCATTGCATAAAGTAGGTTATGTCTAAGTTATCAGCTTATTGTTTATTTTAATATTGAAAATGTGGGAAAGTTTTATAATTGCAGCTGTGTGACAAATAAAACATTATGTTTGCAGTCAATGTAGAAATAACAAGCTTGATCAGGCTATAAGTACTGTAAAATAGCTACATTAATAAGTGCTTTGCATTTCTTTGTGTTTTCGCATGTTGGAAAGGACTGCTTGATTTATTCCAGACCTTGCTGTTTCCCCATATTACCATTTAACAGTAGAAAGTCAATACAGCACAGACCTGTGAGGTCAGTGACATGCCACAAGTTTAACACGGTAGTGAAACTATAGGGCAATTTGACACCAAGCACTATTCTCTATGCAGCAGACTATGGTCACAGTCATTTTAAACATGTTTTAGGCCTATGTGAGGTTAAATATGTTTCAATATGATTTGTTACAGGAGCGACCCCCTAAAACATGAATTCTGAAATGGTTACGAGTTTTCATTTGTTCTTTTCCAAGTCCTTTGTGTTCTAATTGTTTTTTATGTTTCACTCTAAATCAGTTAGAAAAGATAGAATCGCTGTGTCCACATTTTTATTTTGACAAAGGGACTTTGGAAAACAATCTGTTCCACTGCAGCACAGTTCATATTTCCATATGCAGTCACTCTGTTGTATTGTGCAATCAGTTTTATCGTGAACCAACTTTTCTTCCACCATCACTGAGAGCCCAGTGCACTTAATATAATGACGCACACCAGGACAGGATGTCTTTGGTGACTCCAGAGGTTACTTGAGGTCTAAAATATTGTAGTGGTGTAATGCATTTATTAGGAGTAATGAGGACCACTCTTATGTGGTTTGTTATCTGACTGTCCAAAGGGAGTACAAAAGACCGCAGACCAGTTTGAAGGTGGTAGTTCAGTGAGAAGACCCCCCTCTGTTAAGACCCAGCCAATAATTTCCCTTACGCCATCATCAGATTTATTTCCTTTTCTGTAGAATGTTTATTTCCTTTTCTCTTTCACCACATCCACCTTTTGCATTAACTTTATCTGCTCATTGTTTTCTTTTCTGATATATATCCATCTGTTTTGTACACAATAAAACTTGCAGTCTCTCTGAGATTCTGTCACTCCGACAGTGCAGGCCTTGCTTTAGGGAGTTCTGGGATCAGGTCATCCCCTTGCTTCCTGTGCCTTTATCTAGATGGTCTGTTTGGTATTAGTGTGCTGACATAAGCCCATCATTTCTCAGTATTTTTCCATCCCCCTGAAATTATTATTGGCATTTACTAAGATTCATGCCAACACCAAATAAATGTTGTGTCCCTTACAGCATCTCAATCTTTCAACTGAAAACCACAATTACATGGATTTGACCACAGATTTAAAGGAATAGACATGACTTTATTTCCTTTAAAATAGTTTCAGTGAAGACAGTTCTTTTTAGGAATAATTTGTTTGCCCTGGGGAAAATAAAATATTCGCAATTTAATTGCCTTTATTTTAAATGAAGATATGTCATAATAGCAACAATTCAGATCGAATGATTTCACTCAATTAGCCTGCAGCTTTGAATGAATCGATGTCTGAAATATACATGTCGTGAAGATGTCATGGAATTAATGAATAATTATCATATTACAATTTTAAAAAAGGCAGCAGCTATTTGCACTAACTGTAAATATCGATAGAGGCTATTTACACTTGTGCAAATAGCAATAGATGCTATTTACACTAAGTTAAAATAGCATATTTTCTTAGCGATAGATGCTATACTAAGTGCAAATAGCGATAGGCCTATTTACACTAAGTGCAAATAGCAATGGATTCTATTTACACTATGTTAAAATAGCAGGATTTTTTGCTATTTATAGCCTAGCCTACTACTTAATGCAAATAGTGGCAATTATCTGCACCTCAGTATTGTAGTAGCCTACATTATAAAACAGTATGCAATAATAACGTTTTGAGTGTATATTATAATTATAATTCAAATTATTAAATGGATGCCCTCCCTACACCTACCCGATAGGCTACTTTATTTTCAAATTTTTTTATTATTTCCATCATTTTTATTGAAAATAAATGCCTTTCCGATGTGATATGAGATTTGAAAAGGGAGGGGAAAAAGTTCGGCAAAAGGCAGGTTCCCGGGTCGATCGCATCAAAAAGACTGTGCTACGCGTTTTACCATCAACGCCACTGGAGCTCACGCCGTCTTTTGTAATATTGACTAGCCCAATCACACGTTGGTGGGCGGAGTTAGTGTAAATAGCCTCTGCCAACAAGGTGGGCTATTTGCACTTAGTGTAAATAGACACCCCGAAAAAGGGCAAAATAAATTAATAAAATAAGTAAATAAAATAAAACCACAACGTGCAAATAACACAAAAAAATACAACATATTTATTCTAATGTCACACAGATCACTATATTCCAGAGAGGCAAAATTACTCTCAATAGGGTGACCAGATGTCCATGTTTTCCGGGGACAGTCCCGGTTTTTGGTGTCCTGTCCCCGACTGGAGCTGTCCCCTGAAATGTCCCCGTTTTACAGCACATTCAAAACAAACCGCAAATACACTGTAACAGCCAGACAAATATAGCTAGCTGGCAATCGTATGATTGTGATTATAGCTACTGATTACTTGGTTGCGCACCGCTACTTTAGCCATGAAGATCTCGGACAAGAGCGCTATTATCTTCAATTATCAAAAGAGACGCTGTGATTTTTTTAAGGTGGTCACATACTAGCTGTTAAACCAAAGTAATAGCATACCGTTTGTGTGCTTTTTTTGTAACAAGGAATAATAAGGTTGCACATTCCTGAAAATTCCGCCGTCACAACTCCGAAGTGAATAATAAAAATAAATCAACTAATCAATTATACTTGCACAATTACATGTGCAGAAATAACATTTGTGGTCAAAATGAGCCTAAAATGCAAAATAATAAGCCTAATTAGAGATATAAAAGATCCATTTCCAAAAACATAAACTTTTAAAAGTTGTAATAACTGTATTCAGTTTGTGAAAATGTTAAATACAGTTAGAAAATATTAAACATTTGTTAACTACAGTTTTATTTATCATAGCCTATGTTCTCATATTTGTTTTATTTTTAATGTGCTTTTGTAAAGCCATATAGTCTATTGTTGTTTTGATATGTTTGCTATTTGAAGCAGTTACTATTTACTATTTTTCATAGTGTGATTCTTGGTGAATTATAGGCTATTAAAAAACTAGGGTAAGTTTGATCCTCAAACATCACTGTAATGATGTACAATAAGCATAAAATTTCTCAAGAGCAATTTTTGAAGGGGACACAAATAATACAGCTAAAATTGTACTTGTGAGGATATGTATACACAGAGGAAAGCCTTACTACTATTAGTGCAGCAGGGAGACTGTGCCAAATTAGACAACTTCAAGCTGTTGTGGTCGCGCCGTGACAGCACTCGTGTCCGTTGTAGACGTTACTATCCGTCACAGTGTTGCCAAGTCCGCGGTTTTACCATGGAATTGGGCTACTTTATCACTGTTGCTGCGGGTTGATTTTCATGTCCGCTGGTTGAAGCGACTCCAATAACGTGTATTTTAGCCCCCGAACGCAATGTATTTTTACCGGGGGACCCCCTCGAAACGCAGATAGTTTGAGCTAGTTTTGAGTAGCAATTGTAGCAGGTTTTGTTATGAAAACCTGTCAACCCTTTCCCTCAAGCAGGTAACGTTATTATTGCTAGCATAGCGGACTCATCGAAAAATACATTAGCATCATCTGTATTAGAGAAAAAATTATCACTTCATCCGATGTTTAAGTGAATAAAATAGCCTTGGCAGCCTTACTTACTGGAGTTCCACAACTATTGGCTTTGTTCTCTCTCACCGGACTCATGTGTGTTTAGGTGATGTAAAAGAGGAAAGCAGGCATTTGGACCAAAGCACTGTGAGGCAAGGGAGGGGGAGACTCAATGTTTCTAAACTTAAAATGCATTTTTGCCCCGTTTGTGTCGTTTTACTACTTACACAATTATTTAAAGTATAAAACATTGTTATTTACTATACACAGCGTGGTTTTTAA